TGTTTTTTTGTTTTGACGTTCTCGTTGCCGTCCGCGTCGTTGGATCTTTAAGTCCCTAATTTGGTCAGCGGCCACGCTCTTCGGTTTAATGCAGTGCCCCTCCTGCCAACACCCAAAGAACAGCGCCTTATATGAGGATAATCACCTGACCTTCAACTTTGTTTGAGCACGAGCAAATCGCGTGGAAACGGGATCAAGGTGACTGGACAGCTTATTTGGGTCAGGTTTCCGCTATTTAGACGCTCAAACGAATGTAAAGAGTTAGGAGATTCCAAGAAAACAGGGTCGCCATCCGAGAAAGAACGGTCTAAAAGTTTGTTAAAGCTGTTTTCTTGTCATGCGATCAATGTGATTGTCCTAATGAAATTGTTACTATTCTCGTTAACCTTGTGCTTCAAAAGGTTTATGGTGCTCTGCGTTCTCGAGTTGCACTTTAGCGTTATGTAGTTTGTCTGCTTTTTTAAGATTTATAACAGAGTTGCTTCAACCTCACTTTGTCACAAAATTGTTTTAAGGCTTAATCAATCTAATAGCAAGTGCAACGCTTTTATTAAGGCCCCGTCCACACGTATGCAGATATTTTTTAATCCCGACCGCAACTTTTTCTTTCCGGTAAAGGCTTCCGTCCACACGTATCCGGTGAATCCGACATACGAATCCGCAACTTTTTTAAAAAATCCGCTCTCCAAGGTGGAAATATTATTTTTGAATACGCTATGAATCCGGAATCGTGTAGACGCTAAATCCAGATATTTCATTACCCGGTGACTTAGCAAGATTGAGCCCAGTTCTTTACCGTAAATACTGTATTCAAAATGGTAACCTCGTTCCCAGGTTCTCTCTCGTACCTGTCGATACAAATTGCAAGACGCAAATACTGCGCGCTTTACGACACATACTCCATTGCCAATATTCCCACTGAGGAGTCCTGGGTACTAGAGTGAGTCCGGAAACGCGTGTCGGATACGTGTGGACGGGCATTGGGACGGGCAATTTCGATTTGAATACGGGGGATACATGTGGACGTGGAAATTTTTGACTCCAGAAAGAAAAAGTTTCGGATTCAAAAATATCCGAATTCGTGTGGACGGGGCCTAAGAGATTTCGTTCATGCACGCAAAAAAAGCGGCAAATTAAAAATAATTATTTCCAGAACGTCAGCTGGTACCCCATTCAAAATTTTTGCGCTGTTTTGGCAGCGAGAAGCAGGCATCAAGAACACTTAATTTAACAGAAAGTGCTCCAGGTAGAAATTGTTTACGATCTATGCAATGCAAAGGAAAAATCGTTTGACCTCCGTTGGTCTACCGACTAAGCTAAGGGGCATGATCAGGAAAAAGTCAGGGAATTTCACTTCGCGTCAGGGAGTACATAATTATTCTTTTCTCTCTACTTTTATTGTTTTCAGTCTAACGTTTAAATTTTTTGGACACTTTACGGACATGAATCATGTTGTATTGGTAGAGTATTGTTCATGAAATTGAACGACAATTGCATGCTGATGGGTTTTCAAGAAAATCAATCCTTTACAATCAATATTCAAATACACTGCAGTGGCGGATCCAGACCATCAGATAAGGAGGTGGGAGGCGGTCATCCAGACCCTGAGATAAGGGGGGGTGGTCTCAAAAAAGTTTTTTTCGGCCCTTCGGGCTTCAGTTTGGTCAAAAAATAAAGGGATCCGCCATTGCACTGCATGTGACTTCCTCAAAGCATAAATAAATGGAGACTGAGAAGAGCATGGCTGTGAGGGGAGGGTTGAATCCATTATCAGGACTAATTTGTGAAACTGTTATTTCAGTTGGTGAGAGAAAGTTTCCATTTGTCAGGAAAAAGTCAGGGAATTTCACAAACCTCTGGCTGTAGCAACCATCTCACCCCCGACTTGCTCTTGATCAGTCCTCGTAGCTTAGTCGGTAGAGCAACGATAGATCTAAATCCGGAGGTCGTGGCTTCGAATCCCACAAAGGTCAAAAGGTTTTTTCTTGGTTAGTCACTCAGTCAACCAGTCAAGTCACCCGGCCATATTGTCAGTCTCTCAATCAGCCAGTCATTTGTTCACTCGATTAATTACCCCAAGCAGTCGATCAACCTGCCAGGCAGTCAGCCAGTGATTCAGCTAACTGGTCCGTCAGTCAACAGGTCACTTAGCCAGTCAAGTCAGTTAGTAAGTCCATTTTTCCACCAATCAGTGTTGAGAAATTAGTGAATCAGAAATTTTTTTATCAATCAGTTGGCCTTTATCTGCTGCTAACCTTTTCTATTGTGTCACAGTTCGCCGAAAACTTGAATCAAGGCAAAGACTACAAGTTCTGAGTAAAGCTGTTGAAACTTCAACAAAGAACACAGAAACAGAACAATGTTTACACGTGGTAAGGCTTAATTTGTTGTAATTGTTGTGGTTTCGCTTGCTTTGTCGTTTCATTTTCCACAAATTCTGCCCTAGTTTCGGTGTCATTTAATCTCATTTATATTCAATTAGCCTGAGGTATCAGTAAAGAGGAAAAGCCCGAGCCCATGGAAGGGGAATCAGCGGCTAACGCTATGGCAGCGTTGAGCCTAAGCAGTAATAAGGACAGTGGTCAGTCCAAAAAAAAGAAGAAAAGGAGGCGGAAATAATCTTCGTCCTACGAAAACCGAGTGACAAATTTTATTGGCTGTCAGACATAAATAACTGATCAACGACCCCAATAGCTAAAGGATCCTACCAACTGAACTCACTCAGCGAGTTCAGTAAATACACAAAGGGCGCTAGAGTGTTTGTGGTTCGTAGTTCTTACTTTGCTCGCGTGAAGTAGCCCCCCACGAAGTAGGCTCGTCGACCATTACTGCCAGGTCTGGTATGGAGTTTGTTAAGCATTCGAACAAACTTTCTTTGTTTGTTTTTAAAGATCTCCCTCAGAGGTGTTTTTTTTTTTATGTGGGTGCCATTTTACCTTTATTTTATCTTACAGTGAAGTAATACGAAAACAAAACTGTTTTCACATCTCCGGCTATATCTTACTCCATCGCTATAATCTTCGACTTTATTAGAGTCACAATAAATTGTTCATAAAAAGGTTGCTTATACTGACAAAAGGTCTTTGGGTGTGAGAATTTTAAACCCTCCACCATATGCTGCAAGCTTTATATAACCTTCCTAAATTGGTGGTTTACATGTAGTAAGTAGTTAAGTCATAATCAGGTGCTACGCTTCTGGACTCTAGTCTAGTTCCAAGTTTTCATCAACATCTACCTTCTTTAAAAATGGCACACGCAGACGACATCAATTTTAATGAATACCCTCCTCGGTCATACTCGCGCTAGCACCGTGCTTGCTTGGCCAATTTTTGTTTCATTTAGCACATTCGAATTCTTTGCTCGTATCAAATGTGGCCGACCATGCTAGGCTGCTTGCTTGCTTAAAAACGAGGGCGGATTTGTTAAAACGTCAAGAGCTCCGCAGCCCAGTTCAAGAGCACTGAAAGTGGTCCGGACAGCTTTTCGTTTTAAGTCAGACTGGACCGAATGATTATTCGGTGTGCCACTGAGCACTGGAGAACACAAACTCAAGGGTTTCTTCAAATAATTACTGTCGTAGCCTCGTAAAACTATGTCATCGGATCGAGTGGCAAAAGTGCCCCCTCTTTATGCATTATTTCGGTCCCAGTTAAGACATCCAGTATACCCGTGGCTTCCTTGCTTCACAAACTTCCTCAGGGAATTTATTTTCTGACTATATAAGGAATCGAATTTAGAGGGCCCCCGAGAATTGTGCACCCTGGCAACAGAACCTGGGATAAAACTTTAAATATCACGCCTTACTCAATAGGCAATTTGTAGCTAAACATTCATGTGGTACAAAACCAACGTGCTGGAGAGCGAAAGCCGCCCTGGGTCAAGGCAAACAAAAGACATTTGGGCCTATTGGTTGAAGTTTTCCATTATGAACAGTAACCGGGCTGCATATAAGAAAAGGCATATGCGTCCCGCTAACCAGCCCGGCCCGGCTCAGTTACCGGCTTCATAGAAAGAAACCACGACGCAAACATGATGAGATGTGATTACTTTCTAGGGACCTCCAGCACGAAATTGGAAATGTTAGGTACAGAACCAGTCCCCATTAGCTTTGCAGAGATTTTTATTGATCAAAAAAATAAGGAATTGTAGTAACTGCATAGTAAACCTAATATAGTCTATCATCTTGTTGAATCAAAAACGAATTAAGACAAAGACAGAAAAATCCTAATTGAAAAAGTATAATGCATTGAAAAGTCTCTAAGTTATTCCAGTAAGAGATGTAGTTAAAATTAGGATTTAATTCAGTTAAGCGATCAATCAACTTTATGTAAACACGTAATAACTGAACCTTAAAACTGACTCTAACAAACGCTCCTTGCAAATATGTTGGCGTATCTACAATTACAATAATAACTAAAAAAATAGTAAAAACTTCGAATCAAACATACGGTAAGGGGCTAGGATAAAACACAAACTGATGAAAAGGACAAACTATGGATAAATTAACTAACCATACTAACTGTTACTACCATGCAATCTCATCACAGCAAATATTACATCGACAATTGTCCTTGCCCAGCTTAAGTTCTTGGGTTAGTGGAACGGAAGGGTTGACATGAGTAGGGACATTACTCCAGAGTCGGCATGCAATAAAAGAAGAATTTCTATGTTTAAGACTTTCGGGGGTGGCTGGTCGAGCCTGCTGTCATTTCCTCGAAGATTGCACTAAGCAATGTCTTTGATGCTAATCATATTACTTATAAAACTTCGAGTGTAAGCGCCTGGCTTAAGGCTTATTTATCTAAATTATACAGTGACAAGATCTGTTCATAACTCATAGCCTTAAATAGATTCAAAAGACTTCTGAGTACGTTAAAATTGCCATTTTCTTGTTTAACTCATCATGTTTGTTCTATTCTTTTTAGTAGAAGGCTAAAAATGAACGCGTGAATTTTACCAAGAACCAATTTAATACATGGAGGTGGGGTGGGGGGGGGGGAATGTAAGGTTATTGCCAATGTTTACTCCCAGGTTGAGTTCCTCGATAATTGGTTTCGTAGACACCCACTGAAAAATTCGAATTCTTTGTTTTCTTTTGAATTTTGTTTGGCGGCAACATTTACAAACCTTTTTTTATCTTTTTTTTTTTCGTGCCCATTATTCTTAGAAGCGATTCACTGGTTGCTATTCTGAGGTTAGGGCCTATTTACATGAAGGAAGGGGACCCCAACCTCGTTCCCAGGGTTCTAGGAGAGACAACCTGGGAAAGAGGTTGGGGGGACCCCAGCTCCAAAAAACATGATTCTCCAGCTTTAGCTGAGATGAATCTAATTTAGTCTAGGAATTTTTCAGTCTTCGATTCTGCAAAATTAATCAAATATCTCTTTTTTACAAACGATAACTCACAACAATTAAGATTGATTTCATTAAGTCTAAGGTAATCGACTTAAGTTGATGCAGGCTTTTGTTCTATCAGATTAGGCCCAGTAAAAAATGTACTGAATACATTCAATCGAGTTCCTCGTTTGCCTCTATGGCAGCTTCCTTCAGAACCAACAATGCTGTTTCTTCCACCGTTTTCAAACACTCCTGAAGTGCAGTATACGTGGTGGTGAACGACATGGTACTGGCTATCACCGAACCCAGAATCGGGATAAAACGGAAAACTTCCTCAACGGCTGTTTCTGCAGCATAGGTTGATAAGTAAGCGGTCGCTTGCGCAGCCGTTGTTATACAGATTTTACGGACTTGCTCTTGGGTGGATAAATGTAGCTTTACAAAATCATCCGATCCTACCGCTGGAAGACCAAGTTGGGATCTATAGAAGGCGAACTCTTTTAGTATCAACCCGATATCCACGGCAATGGATAACCCCGGAATCGGAACCAACGCAGCGGCAGCAGATAGTGAAGCTACGGTCCAAATACGTCCCCTCAGAACCTGAACTTTTTTTTCAAAAATATCATTTGTTACGGCATTGCCGAGCGACAAGACCAGAGTCTCTCTCTGGTATGTTGGCAATGCATTCAGAATGGCCTGTAGTAGTCGGGCGAAATCCCACTTGTCACGATCGTGATTGCTAATCAAGAATATATCTCGCACATCGCTCAGCAGGTCACCCAGGTTTTCGGAACAGTCGCTTCGAATCTTCTGTAGCATGGCCCCTTCATTGAACGACTTCTTTCGCTTCTCTGCTCGGACATTTTCGTCAATTTTTGTGCGAATGAGGAAAAATTTCTTTTTACTTGATCTTATTTTCTTGGCCAGTTCCAAATCGTGCTCGGTGAATCGGCCGGCTGTCAAGATAAGAAACGCATGAAACTTCTCCAACTCCACCTTCTTGCAGTACGTCGCCATGTCGGGGTAGTTGGGAGTCCCTATTCCCGGTAAATCATAAAACTTAATTTTAGGATTGGTTGGGTGATCGTATGCTTTCGGCTCTCTTGTGGTCTCCGTGATGCCAACTTCAGCTGCCCCTTGATCATCATCATCAAGTCTACCGAAAAAAAGCAATTGACAGTTAGATATTTCTTAAATGCCGAAGATTCAAATTTCAGCACTTAAACTGAGATTGGCCAAATACGAAGTTGAACTATGTGAAGATCGAGTTCTCTTGGTTGGAAGGAAAAGCAACACGGGGAGCTTCCTGTAGAGAAACAGGGGCACCCAACGAGAATATAGTTCAAAACCATTTAAACATAGCATAGTTGAACGTATTTTAGTATTTAAACTGTAGATATAGGCATTTTTTTCCCCTAAAAAATATTTCATCTGTTCGGATTTCCTAGCTGAAAGTCTACTGATCCGAAAATTATAGGGATCAAAACTTACCTTTTCGAAAATTTCAGCCAGGAAAGTAAGTTGGTAAACTCCCTCTTACAAGCCGTAAGGTGACAGTGTTTTCTACGCCTCGGTTTGCTTGTTTGACTGTTTTGAAAACTAGGCTAGTTTCGTCGATAACCGGTCAGTCACAATTAATAGGGAACTTAACAAACTACATCGGCAACGGCAGCGAAACGTCACTTTAAAAGTGAATTGGCGCGGTTTCAAATTTCATTATTCTTATTCCATTCCATTCAATTTGTCAAATGTTTGGGATTTTCTTTGGAGTTAATTCGGAAGGACTGATTCTGAGTTCAGAAAAAGAAACGGAAAATTGTTGTCGCGAGTTCACCTCTGCGGCCGTAGAAGTGACACCAGGAAGTTTTAGGTCGTCGTGCAACAAAGGCAGAAACAAGCGTGATGCACGTGCAAAAGTTGTTGTTTTACCAATTTTTTTTAGACCTATTGCTTTTTTGCCGTTCTCGATTACAGTGATACGGATTACGGTGATACGGTTGTTTAAGATTTTACATTTTAGTATGGCTTCTACAATAGAAAATTTACGACCTGTAACTCATTCCCAAAAAAGGAAACCGTCTTTTTTAAAATCAATGACTTATTTTCCACCTCCCTAATAAAATCCAACATGAACATTTTCTATGTTTGCAAGATACGCGGGATACTCAGCTATTGATTTCAAGCCGGAATTATACTTTATTGTGTTCTTGTTAAGATTACTGACCTAATGAATCTCGCAAACATCTTACATTCTCTCACGCACGAACCGCGAAAGGCGAAAGATCCAACACTTTCCTATATAAGTTGCGTGCATAACTATATAGTGCTTGTTATACAGTCATTAAAATAACTGGAAAGTATTTAGTTTATCAACTGCTTTAGAACCTAGATATGTCTCCTTTCTTACTGTGGGGCAGTTAGATTAAGGTGGCTCAAGTCGTTTCATTAGCGTGTTAACGGTGTGTTAGATTTTTGAATCGCGTTTTTGAAGCAGAAAATATTCATAACTGACTTCGATGATTCTTGGTATCCTAAATGAAAAATGATGGAACTTTGAATAACTAGTTGGTATCGAAAACGTTTGATTTGAGGTATCAGCGTATTCAAAACCACAGCTTTACAAAAATGTCAATAATTAATTTTGAAATAATCTTATATCACGACAGGTTCGTTACTGACTTCAGTCAGAAAACTGTAGAGCCCTCGCCTTTTGTATCGACTATGCGTAATTTTTGCGTTTTCAGCCGTTATTTTATTTGTTTGCTTGGTTCTTTTTTTTCATCATTTTCATGTACAGAAATACTCAATTTCTGGACACTTTCAAGTAAAACAGCAAACTAGGATGAAAAGGAAAGATTCCTGTTACAGCTGCACTGAAGCATTCAAAATTGCTCGTGCACGCTATACGTGCCTGTCTGTAATATTCCATAGCAAACAATGTGTTTGTTGACACCATTTTCGTATCCTAAGGCCCGGTTCAGACGCCGAACCTTTCATCAGGGGCACCCAAAGGTAATTTTCGGAAAATATCTGTTCGGGAGACGATTTGAGATCTAGAATTTTCGGAACATTTGTTGTAAAATTTCTTGCTTGCCTGCCTCTCCTAGGATTTTCGAATTGGTATAATTACCCATTTTTAACGGATTTTTACCCTAAAAACGGCCACCTAGAATTTTCGGGAACCCGTTTCCTGGCTGAAATTTTCGAAAAGGTAAGTTTTGATTCCTATAATTTTCGGTTCACTAGACTTTCAGCTAGGAAATCCGAACAGATGAAAAGCTTTTAGGGGATAAAAATATGCCTATATCTACCGTTTAAATACTAAAATACGTTCAACAATGCTATGTTAAGTGGTTTTGAACTGTATTCTCGTTGGGTGCCCCTGTTTCATGAGCCGAACCTAATTCGAATTAAGGCCACCCCAAATTATTTCGACCGGCTGAATTGATTCAGACGCCGATCTTATTAATTTCAGCCGAACTAAGTTCAACGGGCGGAAAGTGCTCATTTCGGTCAAACTGCTTACAAAATACGGTATAATAATTTACGCATTAGGTTCGGTACATGAAAAGTTCGGAGTCTGAATCAAAGCCGTTCCAAAGTTGCTCCAAAGGCGAAATTCCCGGCCGGGCTAGACGAAAGGAACGGCTGAGCCGTTCCAAGTTGAAACAGACGTTCCTAACTGATTCAGACGCCGAACTTTTCATGAACTTAATTCAATGTTATTATTAGGTTTGGGGTCTAACCCGGGCCTAAATGTGCTCAATAAACAAACTAACCAGTCACCATTGTAAAAACAGAAAAAAATTTTTTCGTTGAAGGCTATAAGTGGATAATTCAGAATGTATTCTAATTCCAGAGGAAGGTCTATCGGAAGGTACAATGGAGAGATCTGCTGACTTTCCGGGAAATTTTCAAGCATTGATACTTCTAGGAACATAACCGTTGGAATAAATCATATTTTTTTGGAATACTACATCATTGCCACTGTTTCCGCATATTATGTTATTTAAAAGAAAGGTCGGAGAACAGTTTTTACCTCGCAGGCAAAATTTCGATTTACAAATGGCCCGGAGATCTGATGCCGAAAGGATGAGGCAATGGCAGTCTTTACACTAGAGCCTAAATAAGCTAAGAAATATTTCAATACAAATAAATTTTAAATTCTTAAAGTCAAAAAAAGCTTCATACACAACTATCTTGTTTACTTCACTGACAGGTTTACTTAAGACTACTCGTTTTCCCACGCAACATAATTAAGATTTATTGACATGCTTCGCCTTTCTCAAAGCTTAAGAAACCGCAAGTTCGCTTCAAGTCGGTTTTAGGGATGGTTTTCAAGTCAATTGAAACTTTCTTGAATCGTTTCAACTTTCCGACTTTAATGAGATACGAAGTGAAGTTGCTTGAGATTTTACTTAAGCCTTCACACACGCATTTCTGGTTAAGTAACACCTAGCAGCTCTTAAGTCTTACTTAACAGCCTAGTGTAAAGACAACCAACGAAGCACTTGTAAACACGGATTGAAGCGAATTACCCAGACTTGGAAGCAAAATGCGCTCAAAATTCGAAAATTACGCAATGTAAACTAGAAAACGAAACGCTGAAACCTTATCTCTGAAATGGAGGACCCGGGCCAGTTTTTGTTGCCTTTCCTGATTTTGTTTTCTCGCATAGAATCATATAGATGTAGTTTTCCGCTTTCGCCTCTTTCAGTCTTTTCGCGGATCAGTTCCGCTTCGATGCTTAACGTGGCACATACGGTACATCTACATACTATGATGTACTCACTCTCGTATTGCGTTGATAAAGCTTGATTTTCCAACCCCCGAGTCTCCGGTTATGGCAATGTTCACCTCTACCTCCTGCCATCTTTCCAGTTTCGTCTTGAAGTATTCCTTAATTCGAAAAAGCCCATGCTCTTCGACGTATCCTTTGATTTCCTCCTGAGTTAAAACCTCCCAGTCCGTATCCATCAGGTCCATGACGACAGACAGAAACTTTTCTTGAGTGGAGTTTAAAATTTTTGACGAGAAAGTTGTCTTGATACGCCGTAAAACGAACAGAGAGGACCAACAACCAAAGAGCAGCGTCTTTTGTGAGGATGATTACCTGACCTTCATCTTTGTTTGAGCACGAACGAATCACGTGGAAATGGGAAACGGTGATTGGACAGCATATTTGGGTGAGGTTCGCGCTATTTTGACACTCAAACGAATGTAAAGCATTTTCTTTCTCAATTCTGAACAAATCAACAGCTAAATTAATTTCATGGCTGGGTGCTCATGTAATCCAGACAGAATTGAGAAGTCACAAAGTACAATAAATAGTGTTTCTCTAGAATTAAATGCTTTATCCTCTAATATGCTGTCAAGCTGAGAAAAATTCCCAGAATTTGTCCGTTTAACAAATCGACAACAGTATTCCACGGTCTGTACTCTTATCTTATCGACCATAAATATGACGTCAAAATATTCGCAGGCAAGTGGTTTCACTGCAAAGTTTTGAACATTTTGACGACATTTGGTCGATGATAGAACAGACCATGGAAAGTTGTTGTCGATTTGTTTTTTTACAATGACTTTGACACTTTTGACGTCCATTTCCGTTGAAGTTTCTCGGAAAATCGCGCGCGAGAGAAACAACTAATGCGCCACTATCGCGTCATTTCCATTGTCTGTACTTTGGTAACCTGAGATCAGGCCCAATTTTAGCAGTTCTCGTACATTCTCTCTTACGCGGTCCCGCTAAAATTGGGCCTGATCCAAAGTCTCACAAGTTTGCGCGGGCTGCAACCAGATTTTGGCCACAACGCTGATTGGCTGTTAGAGCAATACCGCGGGATTTGATTGGCTGTTGAAATCAACGGAAGTTGAAAGCCTTTATTCTTCGCGTGGCTGGTAGCACTAAACAATCTTCGTGAATGATCCGCCGTCAGCGGAGAGAAGGATTTTGCTGTTTTTTTTTTCTAATTGTTTTACGGTCTTGTGGTAGGAAAATATTCCTTAATATGTGCCATGGAAACTCAGAAAATTCAAATAGTTGTCCATATCCTCTCAGGATTTGCTTCATTTATGGAACTAATGTGAGTGTATCGCGGAGTTGAATCCCTCTGCAGGTTGTTGACCGCGAAAAAGATGCCTTTTGATTTACCAACAAACGAGTGCAAGTGAAAACACTATCACCATCTTCAAACTGGTTTCATTTGCAAGTTTCGCCGGGAATGACTTCTATGAACGGGGTACGTAAGAGGAGGCTCACTGCGAGAGAAACTTCAAATGGCTTTAAAACAAGTAGGCATGCATTTTGTCTTAAACAGGCTAATACAATTGAGGGTGTTGTCCTGAACATGTACAAGGTATGTATTTGAGGCGTTTTTTTTACCTAAACAGGGTCAGGGTTTCAATCCCCCAGCGGTTCACCTATACCCAAATGTTGGTCGAGTTCCCGCCGGGATCCAATCAAGATCGCTTGTCAAATACGCGATAAAATTGAAAAAATGCTCAAGGGTTTCGGTGGATTGCCCACAAAAGCAATAAGACAGAACATCAAGGCCAAAGGAAACGAGGCCTTACGTATTGTAGACTAATTATAAAGAGCGCCATGGACAACTTTCCAGCAAAGATCAAAGTTTCTTGAGAAGGGTAAGTGGTTTAATAGATCGTTTACAAAAAAACTCACGACGGCTATTAAACACATTATCGTACATTACCATACCCCAAAACAAAGAGAAATAGAATTTAAACCAAAGATAAAATTGAACCACAACAGCTACACTGGTCACATTGGTGTACAAAACAAAAAAATGGCGGCCAGTATTATGGGGATTTGACTCTTTTGTTACGTAAAAACTTCCTTTTGTTCCAAAAAATTTGCATAGCTGCTGACCACGTGAGTAAAAGTCTAGCTATAGTTTAGCCATGGGCTATAGGAAACAGCTGAGCATGAACATAAACCCTGAACAATATTTTACTTTAGCGTGTTTGGACAAATTATGATTTAATTTATCCTAGCCACGAAAATAATTAAGAACAATTTAAATTAAAAAGTATCCTTTCTACTCAGGCTTTTGCTAACTAAAAACAAAATTATTCTTTTCTTCTGGGAGATTTGCTGATTTTCTGGACCAGTTAATATTTTAATTACTGGTAATGCATTCCATACAAGCGGTAAATTTTAATCTGGAACCGTTGAATATAATTTTACAAAAATGTCCGTATCCGTGTCCGATGTGACATTTTTAACACTCTCCGGGGGCTGGAAGGGGCTCCTTTGATCTTACAAAAAAAAAAAAACAATAGCTACTGATCTATTTGGCTCTACAATTGGTCAATAGCCTACATTTTCTTGCAACCATGGAACTTAATCATATCCAGATTGTGGAATCTTTTAGTTCTAGACGAAAGCGCGTAAAACGACTCTTCTTCTAGATCCTCAAAGACGACTTTGGGTTCGTCCAGCGCACGTACAGGTGCCTGGTAGAGACAACGTATAGACAGGCCTGCCCATTGTGCTCATGTGTGCTCGATATAGCCACAACAAATGCCGCGAAATCACAGTAGCGGGTTCCATTTGAGCATGCTTACTGGCAGTTATACTGGCCAGTAATTAGCAAATGTAAATCTTAGTAGCGTATCCGTGTGGATAGTTGAATCCGAACCTGATGCATCACACCGAATCCGTGTTGACGCAAATATCAAGTATGCGGTTCCAGCATAGCGAGATTCGTGTAGACGTTTTGTGGAGGACATGAACACAAGACAAAGCCTTTTTTTTTTTGAACTCTGATACAGTCTTTTAGAATTTCACTCCAGAAAAAATTGCCAACATTTGATGGATTAAACGAGATGGAAAAAGCACGATAAATTTTGAAGTGACTTCACTTTTTAAGTGTCGTTTTCGTAGCCGTCGCCGTCGTTGCTGCTTAACCCATCGACGCCCGTGACTTTTTATCGTTTTCCAGTGACTTTCAAAATATAAAAAATACATAGGATATCGCGACTCCTTACTTGGGGTTACCATGGAAAGTGGTGCTGTTCTAAAACACTGAAGGCTAGAGTTTTCTGGGAACGTCATTCTGACGTAGTCATTTTGCTTCGTTGAGCAAAAATAACGTCTCAAGTATGGTTTGAATGCGATTTTGGTAAGTTTACAGCCATTTTTCATCTTAAGTGGCTGCATGATAAGTATCATTAAGCGTGACGGTAGCTAAGAGCCCGCTGCCTCTTCTTCGTTGGCGAATTTGGCTTCTTGCTCGTGGAACTGGAAAAATGGCCGCTCCGAAACGAAGTAGCTTTGGGACTCGACTACTAATGAATTTCTTACCCAAACGCTTCAAATTTTGGAATTTGCGGCCAATGAAAATCACAACAAGCGCGAAATTTCCTTGGAAGGTCGAAGTAGCTGCATCAATATGAAAAAAACGGAGGGAGGAACGAACCCCGTCAAAAATTCTGGCTTTTTCTCAGCGTACAATGCAGTTGTGATGTTGAAAATCGAGGCAAGGCAATGATGCACCGTACAAAAGGCTTCGGCCCGGGAAACGAATAAGAACAAAAGCGTCACTTCCAAGCTTGAACAAGGACTGAATTTTACTGTGAACGATGACAGGCTTTTGGTTTTTGCAACGATGATTTCTGTAATAAACCTGAAGGCAAAAAAGGGAATTTTTGTCGTTTTTCTATGACGTTAAGGACGGTCATTTCTGTTCTTGTCCAAATTCAAAAGGTGACATTTTGCAAAACGCGCTGACTTTTTTGGCAATTATCGGATATCCCATTTTGATGGACAATCTACTCAATGCTCACAACTGACAATTAAGGCTGTGTTCCCGCGACTGAGAAAGTTGCAATGTTTTAAATCAGTGGAGTCTTGTACGCACGTCGATGGGTTAAGCTCTCCATGTTTTTTTCTATGTTACAACATGTTTGCCCAAAACTCGCGGCTCCAGCCTCCAGGTCGTCTTGTGTAGCATCGCCTTTAATGTCATTCTCAGTCAAGTAACAATGCCAGATCAGACAACAGGGGTCAATTTAATAAAACTTTTACACTTGTATTTTACAAGTGTAGCCATTGTTTAGGAGTCTGAAAACAATAGCTACACTTGTAAATTACATTTGTAAAAGTTTTATTAAATTGACCCCAGGTCAAATCTCTTGCAGTGTACTGTTTTTCAAAACTTAAGTCTTGCAAAGAAGACCCCCTAATCCCAAAGAGACTACTTAGAGAGAAACAAACAGCATGAAATGAAAGACGTACCTTTAGTTTTGAACGTCTGAATAGGAAGAAAGCTTTCCTGAAGCTGTTTGCCTTTGTCTGTTATCGTGTTTTGCATGTCTGCTAGTGTTTTTTAAGTCAAACGAGTGAGATTTTTATCCTGACACTACAGGGCTCGATCACGTCGTCCGAAGATTTCGAAGACGTTTCCAAGATGTATGAAGACCTTCGAGTTCCGAAGGTCTCATCTGCAATGCTTTCTTTTCCATTATAGATCGTTTTCACTGTCACGCAACAAAAAAATAAATTGGAAACCGTCCAGTGGAAGAAGCCGAGAAAATGACATGTTACAAAAGACTAATATATAAACAATTTGTCCAAGTCTCAGGTCTTTGTGGCCCACAGTTTCTGAGTTATTTGCCGAAACGTTTCACGCACCCTTGTAGAGCTTTGTATGGAGACGCCATATTGCAACCTCGTCCCCAGGGCTTTTCCCTTAAAAAATGGGTGGGGCGGGAAAAGGCCCTGGCATCGGCTGGTCACGTGCACAGCCTAAATATTCCTAAAAAGCTAATTTATATGCAACCCGCTGGTTTTGCGCTGGCAGAAGTCGAACGACGCAACAATGGAAAATAATAATATCGCGAACTGTATGTCAATATTTTCGCGTCTGTGCGATTCAAAAGCTTAAGATCCATTTAATTGCGTATTATTCAAAGGCTACAAGTTTATGAAAGGGCGTACCGGCTCTACGTTGTCACGTACAAAATATGTCAAATGCTTCAGAGTTGAGACATGCTGTTATCGAGTCGGTACTTCGACTGAAATTCATCGTGACTGTGGAATTACTGTACGATCATCAAGCGGAAAGTGA